TCACTAATTTTATTGTATGCAAGATTCAAATCTTTAATGCCACTAAGAGAGAGAAAACTTTTTTTGCCCTCTATATCTTTTGAGCGTGATCCAGATAAAATTGATGGATCTTTTATTTCTATATTATTGTGTGATAGATCTAACGCTCGAAACCCTTGACTGTCCCAAATAGCATTAAATATTGTTTTTGCAAAACGATCATCGATATTGCACTCAGATAATCTGAGAGACTCTAGATGATAGTACATAAGATTAGTAGCAATTTCGTTTAGAGTCTGTGTGCTCATGCCTGCCATGCTAACCGCTGATAAATCTAAGTGTTTTAATACACTCTTCTTTGAATCAAGCAATGCAGATGCAAACAGATTTTCTACATGCATGTGACTTATGCTATTAGCAGCAAGATCTAAATGTGTTAAAGAAGAATGTAGAGCTGTTAATGATGTTGCATCATTTATCTTGTTGTGATGCAATATTAAATGCTGTATGGACTTTTTCTCTTTTAAAGAAGCAGACAGTGGTTGGATATTAGTTATAATATTGTGTGATAAATCTAAATACGTTAAATCTTTGAATGCAATAGCTAACTCAGACAATTTTTCATCATTTATGGCATAATTCCGGCATTAGTAAGAGCAAATTTTTTTATCTTCTTGTGATTATTCATTAAGTCTAGCAAAGAATTAGAATCTATAGATTCTCCTTGTTGTATATCTTTAGGGCCTGAGAGACTGATACTCTCTAAATTACCATTTTCTGAAGTAAGTTTTGCAGCCCGTATAATTGCATTTATCTCACCTAGATTCATGTTACTGCCTGATAATTCAATCAATCTAAGTGAAAGCTTATTAGCAAACAACATTTTTATTGTATTCTCTTCAAGGTGAATGTCACCTAAACCTGACAAATCCAGAACTTGTAACATGTAGTTCTTTTGTATTCCTTCAACAATACTTTTAATGCCATCACTCTTGATATCAGTACGAGCTAGTTTTAATTCCTCTAACACATCTAATTGTTTTAAACCATTTTCTAAATAATCTGCTACTTTATTATTAATCCTATTATCAGACAAATCTAACGATGTAATACAACCAGTGCCATGATAACTTATATCATACGTAGTGTGAGGTAAATTTTCCTTCGCCACCATAGCATCTACTATATGCATAACTCCAACATCAGTTATCTGATTCTTTGATAAATTTATTTTATTAATAAATGTATTGCGCTTCAGCATCTCTGCAAACTTTTGCATCCTTTGATCGTTTATACCGCTATTAGATAAATTCACCTCACGCACAGACGAGCTTGGCTTTGAAAGAAATACAATAAGCTTCTCATAGGACTCATCATTTAAATAACAGTCGCTTAAATCCAATGATTCTGGTATTGGCTTGTTTTCATTATCTGATAATAGTTCAGACAGCTGTAATATTTTTGGTTCTTGTTTGTAATGACCAATATGAGATAACTTGCCTCCTGCATCTGTACTGGATGAAGTATGAGGCACTGCCTCTATCGATGTATGAATCGTGACATATTTTTCTGAAGTAGAGGATTTGTTAAATACTAATGATACGCACATTGAACTCTTGCTGTCAGTTGCGCTCTTGAAAGTCTGAACATATTCAGATAATTGGCTAATAGATGATTGAACAGCATTTTCGTATTGCCTTGATACATCTTTTAGCCTTGTAATGTATTTTAGTTCAAAAATGACAGGATCATGCACCACACCATCATCGCTACCTTGGAAAATCAACGCGATATCAATCCTATAACTGCCAGAACTTACTTCACTAAATACCTGTATGCGCTGATCGTTATATGTTTGCCCTGTAAATAAACCTTGAATTATAGCTTGTATATCACTCTCACTATTGATTAAATCTTTTACTGTAGATAAGCGCGTTGAAAATAATTCACTCAAAGACGAATGATATTTCTGGTTTTCTTGTTTCACTCTTTTTGCAGGAGGTTCTAATACGTCATCTATATCAGTCTCATAGCCTGCTCTATCATCTGCATTTTGTTTATCAAGAGCTTCAATAAAATTCCTTACAGCTATGCATTCTACTTTTTTGAAGATACCTTTATATTTTTTAATATTATTATCTTGAACATTGATTCCCTTAGAAATTTTAATAAATGAATCACTACTGCCTATATAGTTATGAAATTTCTTGGCCTGAAAATCCACCTCAATATTCACCATATCTATAGCAGTAATACCCAGTGCCCTCATATCTGGTACAGCATCTCTCTGTAACTGCTCTGCCGGTGATCTGACAGCAGAGCCATGTAACATAATATCCTTGTTATCTTCTCTCGAAGATATATTCAGTACAATCCCTTTATTAGAATCTGCTTTTTTAAAAACCAGCGTCATGACAGCACCTTGTGTGATAGTGCCGCTATGTTTGAATACGTATCTTTCTCCTTGAATGTTTATATCACTGATAAACTGACCTAGTAACGACATACCAAGATAATTCAGATCTCCACTTTTTATACTTGCATAATATAAATCACTAATATGATCTTTGACCTTTTGCACTTCTATATTATCAATGCTACTTTTCAAAATAAATGATACTACATTTATGTGATCTGTATTGATATGATTCACACTAACTTCTAGCTCATTGGGTTTTTTATCAAGAGATTTAGCATTAAAATCTACCCCTACCAATACAGCAGTTTTAGCATTCGTTCTAATATTTATTAAGTTATGCGTATATCCATTGTCGTGAATTTACTGTATTGCAGCTAATGCGCCTGCACCAGACTTGACCTCAATTATTATAGGAATAGGATGAGTATGACCATTAGCACGTGATAACAGAATCATATCTACATAACCTTTTCCTCCTATTCTCTCTACATAACAATCAAGTTTATATTGTTGTTTATAATTTAATCTAAAAAATCCATATATATATCCATGATATGCCTCTTCCATGAGTGATAAAGCTTTTTTTGTGTAATGCTGCTTATAGATACTTTTAAGTGAATCAAAGATATCACAAACATTTTTTTGGACAACAGTGTGATCCTTACTACTTAATTTATCAACAAACAGATCAAAATCTTGTATCACATTTGTTTGTATCTGTTTAGATACACTGGAAAAAATGGTTCCAGAATTACTGGCTGGAATATCAAAAAATTTCTGATGATTCATATCACGTGATACTTTCAACCTAAAGCCTTGGCCCTTCTCTGGACAAGTGTTAAATTTATGGCTTTCCAGCTGCACTTGTTGATTATCAATACCTGGTGCAAGACGCCCCTTAATCTCACTTAACTCTTGATTAGTAAAGCTTACACTGTGAGGATCAATATTACTATTAGTGCTGATTGCAATGAACTTTGACTTATAAACACTTTGATCATATGTTTTAAACACTAATTTGAGGCTATTAGACTCCAAGTCTAACCGAAACAATATGTCTTTTATATGCAACTTAGACATTAGCGATGTATGTGGTAGCGTTAGAGCTGAGCCAAGAAAGAAAGAGAGAAAAAAATGTCCTTGTTTGCTTATATGCAATGTTAATGTCTCACTTAACAATTTAGAAAGCTGGCCAGTAAAACTTTTATCCATCATTTGACCTACATCATTTCTACTATCAACGACAGGACCATTCACTAAAAACTCTATTAGTTCTTTACGACTCGCACGATTCCTCATCTTCACCTCTTCAAGCAAACAAATTTTTTATCTAATGTGAGATACCTCAACATCTCTCTTCATTTTTTTAGCAACGTTTCTTACATAACTTACTTCCGATACATCTAAACTTTGCTTTAAATTATCTAATAAATTTTCAAATATCGTATAATTTTCTATATGACGAATATAAAAGTAGTCATCCTCTTCATGATGATTATGCCTATAAAATCTCAATTTGCCCTTAAATTCATCAATATTACCCAAAGGCTTGATCCAAAAATTTATAAACTCATTAAACTTCTCTACCCTTTCCTCCAATCGTATAAAAGTATTGCATGATGCAATGCCATTATCCGACATAATAAACTCTCTAATAAAACCTTTCATTTCTGCTTCGTGATCAAAAGCCCATCTAACGAATTGCTCTGCATCATCTAATAAACCTCTCTCTATGCAACGCTCACAATTTTGTAACAAAGTCTTGCCCACTACCTTGCACTTTAAAGTATGTATTACCTCTTGAGGCAACATACACCAGGTTAAAAAATCTTCTATAACTTCAAAAGCATTATATCCTATAAACGTATCACATAATGCTGCCTCCAATTCCTCATTGTTTGATAAATAATCTTGCTTAAACGACGTTATTTCTTCTTCTGATGCTAAAAGCCAGTACAAAAATTTGTTAGAATTCTCTAATGCAGCACTAACATCCTTTTTCTGCGCAGCCCACAATTTGTAAATGTGTTCACGCACACATTTATCTTCCTGCACGGTCTTCTTGCAAACCTTCCTTTCTTCCTCTGTAGAAAATCGCCAAGATAAAAACTTATCCACCAATTCATATTTACTAGATATTATGAAACCTCTAATTAACGCTATATTATCTACCTTACTCTTGAGAATTCCTTTCTCTTCGTTCGCACTACATTGCCAGTTTAACAACTTATCTGCTAAATAATATTGGTCACACTTGATAAGATCATCTAATATGTCTATTCCTTTCTTAAAACTTTTTTTCTCCTCTTCAGATACTAATATCTGATCTATAAATTGATCTAATAATTCATATTGATCTTCTTTTATTAACTCCGCGTATTTCTTTGAACCAGAATCTATTAATTCCTTTTTTCTTGGCGCCATTTCTTGTGCGCTAACTACCAATTTGATGCTAGATAAATCCCATATGTCAAATAAATCATGCATCAAGGCCACAAGTGAATTATCTGAATGATCTAGTGCTATCTTACGTTTTATTTTTACCGGAATCCTGTTCCATACTTGGTGGAGTATACTTCTATATTGACTATCTTCTATTACAAATCCCAGCGCACAATCCTGACTCATTTTACTTGTAATTGCCTGCAAAATTCCGTACACAATGCTGGTATCATTCTCAAGATATAGCCAAATTTTATCTAATGTCGGCATGAGAAACTCTTGCCACGGCCACGTAAATAACAGCATTTCCACAATACAATACTGAATGGATTTCTCAAATGAATCATCTATTAAAGTGATTATTTTTTTATTAAATAACTCCTCTTGATGATGTACAGCCATTTTACTCATTAGAAACACACATATCTCTACATATCTCTCTTTCGTATAATGTCTTTCATATTTGTAATAAGCATATTGCTGAATTAAAATACGAGTGCCACTTACTATATTTCTATCTCTTTCTTCATTATTTAATTTATTCCAAAAATATTTGACAGCATTACTATACCCAGCAAACATCGATAATCTACACATATTTTCCTCAATAGAATGATGAGGATTGTATAAATAATGAAATGAATTATTGAATAAAACTGAATACCCCAATTTTCCATATGAGTACCTCTCAAAGCGCCAAATTAACTCTGTCATCTCATCATTTCTCAAACATTGCCAATATGCCAATATATGTCGAGTGTAATAACGATATATATCCCCATAATCCCTATCCTGAGTAGCTTGTGGAATTTGTGTCCACAAGCTATTAATACATTCTTCTAATGCATATTTACATGCAAAATTATATATTGTGGAAACACTGAGGTTTGCATTACCTATCCAAGATGACTGAATTATCCTGACCGCGTCCACAGTACCTTGCTGGGTCCAGTATATTTGATCAACATATTCTAGTGCTTGTCCTACTTTGCCATATTGAACCATATTCTCACGTTCAATACGCCAGTACCAGCCGTATATCTTTTTGCCTATCTCTTTTGAGACATGAAGCAATTCTCTATATAAAATAGCCGGTAATACATCACGCTCTAGCTGTTGCAACACCTCCTTTGTTAAATCGTACCATTTCGACAACATTCTGCTTTCGCGTGAACGCTCCCTAGCACACAATATAAAAAATTCTTTTACCTTACTTTTTACATCCGGCCTTTCCCATAGCGAAATCGCTATATTCAATATGGCTAAACGCTGTAGGCTATTGTGTGACTCATGCATACTAAAACCTCTATTTGATAGGGAGTGTTAACAAACTGCTAATCTAATAAGCGCAAGTTGCCAATTAATTGCTTGCTGTGTGGTAGATTTTATAATTCTGTTATATTATCACATGTCTATAATCCGTAAAGCCTTTAGACGTCTTTATTATCCAATAGATGTGATTGCCCTTTGTGTTTGTTGGTATCTGTCTTATTCTCTGAGCTTGCGCAATATTGAAGAAATGATTGCAGAATGAGGTGTTAGACTCGACCATTCAACCTTGCATCGCTGGGCAGTCAGGTTAATTCTGTTGATGAACAAAAAATTTCGTAAATATAAACGCCAAACAAGCAAGTACTGGAGAATGGACGAAACTTACATTAATGTCAGAGGAAATTGGAAATATTTGTACAGAGCAGTTGATAATATGGAAAAACCATAGATTTTCTACTTACAGCAAAACGTGATACTGCGGCAGCTCTTAGATTTTTCAAGAAAGCTATTAGTCAGCATGGTACGCCTGAAGTTGTTACAATTGATAAAAGTGGTGCCAATACTGCTGCTTTGAAGGCGATTAACACCAGTAAGCAAGAGAAAGAGGCTATAGGCATCCTACAAAACAAATATCTAAATAACATTATTGAACAAGATCACTGCAATATAAAACGCGGATACGGCCAATGCTAGGATTTCAATCATTTCGCTTCGCAAAGATCATTTGACTAATCAGAGAAGAAGACATTTTTTCGTCAGTCATGGAAAATATCACTTTAGGTGCGTTTCGAGTTACGCATGATGTATGATTCGTCTTCATTGTTCACCAAATAATAAAGAAGGATAAAATGTCCCTTCGTTCTTTGTATTACAGGATACAACACGCACGACAGTAATCGAACTGCTAGAGTCCGCTGAAGTTAAAATGGTAAAGGTATAGAATACCTGGCTCACCTCCGATTTTGATGAAATTAGGCTTATTCGACGCGTTTTTGCACGAAATGAACGAATGTGGCAGAAAAAAGTGCCGCTCTGGCCTCCGAACCGAGATATTTAGCGTTAAAGTTCACGGCCGTTCAGGTTAGGAAATCTGTCACACCGACTCGATATAAGCGCTATTCTTCTTCTTCTTCTTCTTAATTAATGGCTCCCGCCTCCAGACATATAAAAAGGAGGTCGATACGGCCAGATCACGTCAAAATGTTAGTAATCGTACAATGAGTTCAGACGTATTAATGACAAAAGCGTCAAGCAAGGAGCAACGTGCTACAGCACCTAGACCTCGCGACAGTGTGCCACATGAAAAGCGGAGCAAAGCTGCGCTAGGATGGGAAGGGAGGGGCAAGAGCGAAGGCGAGGCGTCTGCGCAGGTCACAAGGAGGCGCGAAAGTTTAAAGCTCAAAATTGCCTGCCACATGATTTACTAAAGTTAAGAATGAGTCTACCAAGATATTCCGACGGTTTGGAAATGGCTCTAGCAAATTTAGTTAGTCTATCACCCGAAGGTAACACTCGGTCAATGAAACGACGTAATAAACGTGCGTCCTCCGAGAAGTCCGGACAATCAAAAATCATATGCAAAATGTCCTGTTGAGGATAGCCACAATGACAAGAGGGATCCTCGATAAGGTTCTTACGGTGTAAGCTGGAATTTAAGTTGTAGTGATCAGCGCGCAAGCGATTGATCATGACGATGACATCTCTAGAAATTTTCATACGGTAATACCAGGGCTTAGCGGACCTCGCAAAAATATTATGAAAAAAATAAGAGCCTTTGATATCCGCCTGTGACTCAAAATGCTGATAAGCACTATCCGTGATATTTTGTTTAACGACCACACAAAGGTCTGAATAAGGAACTTTAAAATTCGGTTCAATGCCTTGACGAATAGCGCGTTTAGCAAGCTGGTCGGCTTTTTCGTTGCCCTCGACACCTCTGTGTGAAGGGATCCAAATAAAATAGATCTCGATGCCCTTAGATTCGGCCTCCTCCACTGCAGATTTGATGAGTGGTATAAGGTAATTATTGGAAGAGATATTGTAACTCTTAACGGCCTCGAGAACGCTCTTAGAGTCTGAAATGATAGAAGCTTTAGGTAATTTAAGATCGATAGTTAGAGTAATAGCTGTATAAATGGCGTATGCTTCCGCGGAAAAAATCGAGGTGTATGACGAAAGTCTGAACTCCAGCTAAGCTCGGCCTCCAGCTGCGGGGAGAAAACAGCCGCACCCACATACGAACTGTGATCAACCTTGGACCCATCGGTGTAAAATAACACTGAGTCTGACGTGAGATACTGTAATTCCTGGTTGAAAAAGGACTGGGCGGGTGGAATAGGAAAAAAATTAGTTAAATCTACTGAAGGCAGAGAAAGAGACGTATAGGGGGAAGAAATGGTAGTAGAGCGGAAAGAGGATCTGAAGTTTGGTAAAGTGAATGAACAGTCAATAGAGGAGTGATAAGATGTCCAAATATGATTAAATATAATAGCGGCTGGAAAGTGGGCATGTAGGTAGTCAGTTCTGTTGGTTTCCGCAGCGGTGTCATAGAGCAGATGTAGTTTGTCAATGACAATATGGTTACGCACCGAGGAGATCTTAAGGAAGTAACGCGATGTTAGGAGTCGGAATCTAAAGGAAAGGGTAAGTTCCACGGTCTCAACATAGATAACATTCAGCGGAGTGGAAATGCGATAACCAAAACAAAGGCGAAGGGCTTGGTTTTGAACAATCTGCAGCGCACGGGATAGACTGTTCTGGGTCAAGCTAAAGATATGGGAGGAGTATTCGATTGATGCACGTAACAGGGCCCTATATATCGTAAGGAGCATGTGAGGGTGTGCTCCCCACCAAGTACCTCTAAGAGCTTGAATTATCTGGAGTGTGCGTCTGCCTTTATCGATGATGAAAGACATATGAGCCTGGCCAGACAGCCTAGGGTCCAGTAACACGCCGAGGAAGCGAACAGTAGGAGAGGGTAAAATGGGCTGATTCTGGAAAGAGATAGAGCAGTTCATGTGTAAAGTAGACCTCTTATTGGAGAAAATCATGAGCCGCGTTTT